CGTGACTGAGAAATGGGGACCACCGTGAACGAAGGCACACCGACATCAAGAAATAAAGAAGAAAGGTGGCATGAGATGGCTGACAGCGGTGGCTATATCTTCACCGTCTCAGCGCAACAGGACAACAAATCTCGGTGGTTCACCTATCGGTTCTTGTTCCTGGCAATTGTGGTGGCTGGTGGCCACGAATCGACGACACCTACAACGCCATCTCCTTCTCCAGTCTTCGACTGATGCAACACCCAATCCCGGTTTCAATCGGTGTCCGATATTGCCGGCGACAAGAGTCGTTTGATGATGCTGGGTGGTCAGAGCAGGCAACGGTGCCGAAGATGGGTGAGGTGAGAGTGACGGCTACATAGAATATTAGAGTTAGGGTTTTAGGAGGGATGCAAGGTGACAAGTTTAATACCTGTATCTAGGTCTGTCAAATCGGGCCGTCGTGTCGTGTTTTTGTCTGACACGACACGACACGACAAGGTTTTTTGTAACACAAACACGACACGACACGATGTCGTGTTTTTTTTCATTAACACGAAAACGAACCAATTAAAAAACGACAACACGACACGACAAAGATAATATTACATAACTATTATTTTATTTAATTCATATTTAATCATATATAACACAATAAAAACGACAAACACGAAAAACACGACAAACACATGCTCAATCGTGTCAATTTCGTGTGGATTTTTAAACACGAACACGACACGACACGACATCGTATTTTTAATACTTGACACGAACACGACACGAAAACGAATTTGAATTTTGATTTCGTCCCAATTTCGTTTCGTGTCGTGTATTTTTGTCGTGTCGTGCCATAAATTGACACCCCTACCTGTATCCCATACCAATTCAAGAAGATTTGATATTTCCAATCCGTCCCATCCTTAATCTTTTTGAAATGAGTCCGATTTTTACCTTTTTAACCCCTGATTCCAAAAATCTTTACAGTATAAATCAAGAATTTACATTTTATCCTTTGCTTCCATAATTCCTCTCATATTAAGTCCTAATTGTTACCAAGGAACCCCTGTCTTCAATATTACTTACAAATTAAGTCCGGATTTTACACTTTAACCCCCGCCTTCTAGAATTATAACAGTTAACTCGTCGAGACGAGAACCTTGCTATATAATTATTAATTTTAGGGCTACGACTCATTCATTAATTTGTTTTATTTATTTATTAAATAAACGGGGTGTTACACAATGACAATAATTTGGCAAGAGAACAATGCTATCATAATTCCACTCCCTTACTTAATGCATTTAGTGAGTTCAAAGAGAAGTTAAAGAAATGATTTTTTTAATTTCTAAATTATAATGTCAATAGCAAAAAGACAACTATTACGATATTGAGATTTGATCGTGGGGACTAACTGAAAAATAGCAGTGTTGATGTTTACCTCTTTCAGCTCCTTGTCGAGGACATACTCCTTGTCCTCGTAGCGGGTAACCATTCGGATGTTACGGATCTAATCATTAAAATTGGACCCATCGAAGATCACCCTCCTACACAAATTCATGAGTGAGAATGAGCCGAAAGAGTTTGAGCCTGAAGCGTTGTTTGAGTTCGACATCTGAAAAGGTAAAGAGACAAAGTTTGATTAGATAAGAATCCTCAATTAAACACCCAAATGGTAAATTAAGGCTAGGATCCAACAACATTATTTACAATTTAAAAGAAGGATGTCGTAATTTAAATTGTAAATAATTTGAAGGTAAGTGAATGACGATTCACTAATTTCCACCATGAAAAACAAAAGTGATTAAGTTTTAAATGTATTGAAAACTCCTAGATCTTTTAAGATTCATTAAACTTTTCAATGGCATGTTTAAATCTCGATATGCCCTTCAAGTTTGTGATTGGGATACCGAGGATCACAAACAAGGTGTGAATAACCATGCAAATGTACATGGTGCCCCCAATGTTATAGTCACCTAATCAATGTGTCGGTTAGCCACACATGCTCCATTGATCTATGACAAACATCGAGTCACCCTTTTCCGCCTTTGGTTAGAGCCAAATTAGTGTGCCGGTTAATCACACATGCTCCACTAACGTCTTAGCAAGGGTACAAAGTGTAATTTCATGGAATAGCATCAAATTTCACATTTTTCCTAAAGTAACTAAGATTGAGAATTTTATAAAAACATTTAATTACTTTATTAATCATTATACTTTTAATGAGGAATTAGTTGCCCTATCCTACCCGTTCAGCTAACGACCTTCCACCAATCAAGGAAGCGGTGGGTGAGAGTGGATACCCCTTAAACGACCATTTTATAGGCCATAACCTTATATCTCCTTTATAGATCGGCTTCGTGAATAAAGTCTACTAACGGTAAGACTAGCATTTATCTTATACATATATAATAATTATTCTTATAATATTATAATAATATAGGGATGAATTTTAAACTTGTAAAATTCTAGGGTTTGGATTTTATTATTTCATAATTAAACTTTTAATAAAAAAAAATTAATTCCAAAACTTGAGGGCAAGTTTTGAAACATTTCAAAACTATCTAGATCAAAATCAAATAATACAATTAAACAATTAATTTTGGTGATTATCTAATTTTGACCTAATCCAATTGCATGCAAGATAATTGATCAAATAATTCAAATAATTAAGATTTATCAAATAAGATAATTATTATCTAATTAAATGACAAATATCTTTTATCTTGACAAATATAATCATAATTAATCAATAAAATTTGAATTTCATTAATTAAAAACAACTATGGTAATTGTCCCAAGTCAAAATATGCAAAATCCCGAATTTCCCTCTGTCTGACATCCCGACTCACCAAGTCCCCATTTGGACTCATCGAGTTCACTTTGGGACTCAACGAGTCTGTCAGGCAGAAGGCTAGAAATTCAATTTTAAGCAAAGGACAAACATACAATGCATCAAAATACAACAGAAACCAAGCAACGCTCTGATACCACTGATGGTTTTGAGCAAAAGAACATCATATGTGTACATGAAAAACCCTAAAGCTTTCACTATGTTTCTCTATTGTACATGCAAATTCATCCGAAGCTTGTAGACCCTAATCTAGCATACAAAAAACAAATTGAATATCAAATAGACAAGTTAGATGAATACCTTGATTGTTGATTGTAGAACTTGAAGCCTTGCGAACCTTAGCATCCCAAATGTTGTGCCTCTAATGAATCACAAACACCAAAAGCAATTGGATGAAGCAAGAGAGAGAGGGGAGAGGGAAAAATCGGCTCCAAGACTCCTAAGGTTTCAGTGTAGTCGAAATCTCATGCCCAAGGGGTCTTTATATATGTGTGAGAATTAGGGTTTCAGTCATTATCCTTATCTGGTTACTTAGCCACCAAGCAACCCAAGGATAATTCTAGAACCCCCTTGGACGAATTCCTAAGGCCTTATCCTTAGGATTCGTCCACCCTATACTCTAGGGTTTCCTTACCTAACTTGCAACTATCACATAATTACAAGTTCAGTCCCCTTTATTTAATTAACCTCTTTTGACCACAAAATTAATTCTTGACCAATGTTAATTAAATAAATATGATTTCTCTTTTAATATGTTATTCTTATAATATATTAATAAACCATAATAACCTCTTTCTCTATTATTCATCCAGTCAAGTTGCTTCGGTGAAGGCAACCCAAAAAGACCATGCACAACCGGGTCAAGTATATACAAAATATAGTTATGGACTTAGACACTAATCCAACAAAACCTTCTTTTCGATAAGTAAACTCACACATGATCAACCTATCAACATTTTATTCTTTGATTCCTTTTTTACTCTTCATAATCGTTTCACCAAGAACATCCTAGCTTGGGGTCGGGTTAAACATGGTCTTTACATTCTGGAGCAAGGTCACAAATCTCTTTTGGCCAATCTCTCCTTATATCGGCTCCTTACTTCCTTTGGACTTTGGCGCAACCGTTTAGTACATGCAACTTTTGATGTTATTTCTTTTTTAGCTAAAACAAATCATTTGTCTCTTACTTCATTGTTACCTGTACCAACTTTGTGCTCTTCTTGTCAACTTTCCAAAAGCAAATGTTTACCTTTTGCTATTAATTACAAACGTTCATTGCAAGTCTTGGATCTTGTTCATTGTGATTTGTGGGGTCCCGCACCCGTTATGTCTGTTGATGGTTATCGTTACTATATTATCTTTATTGATGATCACTCTAGGTTCACTTGGTTTTACCCTTTAAAATCCAAATACAAGGTCTTTACAATAATCTCATCCTTCATTAACCTTGTGCAAACTCAATTCTCACATAAAATTAAGATATTTCATAGTGATGGTGGTACTAGATTTTTGAATTGTTGAATTCTAGAGTTCATGATCTTTTTGTCAAAATTGGCACTCAACATCGTCTTTCTTGCTCGTATACACCCCAACAAAATGGTAGAGTCGAACGTAAACATCGTTATCTCACCGAAACGGATCTTGTCATTCTATTTAATGCTCATGCTCTAGCTCCATTTTGGTTTAATTTTAAACATACCTACCGTGGTTTCTACGGGTTATAACCTAGTATTTAATAAAAATATTTTACGAACTATTTTCATAATTTTTTGTATTACAATAGGCATATTTTTGTAATTTACTCAAAATTATTAACAGTTTTATTCAATAATAAATTTAGAAAATCCTTTTAAGTGGTGGGTTTGAATACCGATTTTTAAAACAACTTTAAGTTATAATTTATAATTTTTTTATTGACTTATGAGTTATTAGAATAAAAAATAAAAAATAAAAATCAATAAATTAGCTTTAACAGTTTAACTTATTGAATTTTTTTGCTAACCAATCCTTTTTAAATTTACTTTTCTTACATCGAATAAGTCGATAAGAACTTCCAAATAAAAGTCACTTTTACCTTCAAAATTAAACTCTTTTTTCCTTGAACGACGAGCTGCTCCCTGTGTATCTGTTCGGCCAAATTTAACTTCACTTGGAACTGAGGCTTGCTTTGATGCATGCGAAAAAATTGGCTTCACAACAACACTCGACTACTATGGAGAATCTCCCCTTCGATGTTTTATCAAACATATTCATCTGGTTATTTGCTAAACAGCTTGCTCAAATGAGGTGCGTCTGTAAATCTTGGAATGCATTCTTATCTCAATCATCCTTCATAAAATCCCATCTCGATCATTCAATCGTTAACAACGATGAAGTTCTACTGTTCTTCTACGGGGCATTTAATATTTTTGGTGATGAAGCTTTCTCTGCACATCCCACCAGATCTCCCAATTGGAAACTCAATGATTTCATTAAACCCCCATTTGATCTCAAGTTTGCCACTGTTATTGGATCCGTTAATGGCTTAGTATGTTTTTTTGATGAATCATTTCACGATCCTATGATTTACATTTGGAACCCTTCTCTTTCCGCATTGTCAACACTCCCATCACATTTTGTGGCCTCCCTTGGTGATAGTTATCGGAAAAGTATCGATTTCTGGTTTGGGTTTGATCCCAAATCAGATGACTATAAAGTTATTAAGCTTGAAGGCCTTCTCCAACCACCTAGCTTCATTGACCCGAATTTAGCAGCCTCAGTAAGTCCTTCATCCTTTGTGGTTAAAGAATGGCTGCAAGTTGAAGTTTATAGCATGAGAAAGGGTTGTTGTCAGTTAATCAGTCAAAGGTTCCCATCACACATCACAGGGATTTCTGGACAGGATGAAGTCTCTGTAACTGGCTATGATACCCTTCTTCATTGGCTTGCTTTTATCGATGAGAAGAAGGAGTTACAAACAATAGTTGCATTCGATTTGGGCGCTGAGACATTCTGTGAAATACCTCTTCCAGTTTCTATGTTCGAACACAAAGCGGGTGATGTTTTAGGAGTTTTGGGTGGAAAGCTTTGTGTGATGTCAAGGATTAGAGATGATGAATGTGAGGTCTGGGTGATGGATGATTATGGGGTTGTTGAATCATGGGTGAAACGATATACCTTTTCACAGTTTGGTAATACTGTTCCATTTGGATTCACGTCACACAATGAGTTTCTATTTAAAGTTGAGAAACTCCGTGGTGATGATGATGATGATGGTGATTCTGATTATGATGATTTGCATGATGTTGAATATTGTGATGATTGTTTTGGTTTGTATGATCCAGTTGCAGAGAAGTCCAAATTCTTCAAGCTTCATTGTCGCATAACTAAAATTGTTGGATATGTTGACAGTCTTGTTTGGATGGGACCTAATGAGCTTCAGAGGAGCATCTCTCAGTTGCAAGTTTAAAGAGGCAGAAACAGTATTCTAATTTGCGTCATGTTTTGTTCCTTAGTTAATGTATTTGTGAAGTTTCAGTTTGTACTTTTTAATGCATTACATCTGTATTCTCTGAGGTTTGTAAGATTATGTGTTTGTCATTGTGTTTCAATTTGCTTTTTTTTTTTGCTACTATATATATGTATGCAGAAAATATTTGTTTTCTTTTAACATTTTGACATGTTGGTTCGTTTATGATATAAGTTGCTTTGTAATTATTGTTAAATTGCTATTGTGCTTTGTGATAATAAGACAAATGTATGGTTGTTGATCTTGGTGTAATATTATTCTAGATGATACGAACAATATATTATAAAATATTCTGAAATTGCTTAATGATTGTAAGGTTTAGGTCAACTTTGGTTCCGTTTTGTGATTTAATATCTTTGTATTTGTTTCTTCTTAGAGTAATATATGCAAGACGCCAGATATTCTTCTTTTTCTATCTTTTGTTAGAACGACTTTGCATGATGTTTTGTTTCTTAATTAGGTTTATGTCGAGCATCGTTGTTTAGTGCATTACTTCCAGATTCGATGAGTTTGACATGGTGGTTCAATTTGGTCTTTTTTCTGCTTTGTATGCATTGATGTTATACCTTCCTTTGTTCGTTACATACAGTTTTATTTTTTTAATTTTATTTTTTGAAGGTAGTCTATATGATGATCTGAGGTCAAGGGCATTAAAGTCTTTTTATTTTAAGAAAACACAGCTTGCACAAGACAAGCTTTCTTTATGGCGTATGAGTCATGCATAGCTTAGGCTATGCTTGAAATCAAGGGTAAAACATTCTTTACTCACAGCTCAATGGTATAAGGCAACCCATAATGAAAACAAGTCATTATACTAAATGAACTCACATACCCAACCATTTGAAAAACATATATGGTGAGCTAATTGGTAAAGTTTATTTTGGTCATTACATTATTTTATATTTGAAGTGGTACGTTTTAAGGAAAAGTAAGTTGGGAGCTAAAGTTCTAAAATGAAGGGGTTTAGTTGCAATAATGGTAAATATAAGGGTTTGAAGTGGGAAACGCAGAAATGGGGTATCGTTGCAAGAAATCAGCTCAATCAAATTTGGGCTAAAAGTTCGAATTTATCTTGAGTTATATCTATTATTTTTGAATTGTTTTACGTAAGGATTTTCTAATATGCCCTACGACTATGAAGAATGGTGGCACATGTTAAGATGATCAAACTTTTTCTTCCACCTAATCTTTTTGTCATAGATAATAATATATACATTTGGATTTTGGGAAAAAAATTAAAACAAAAATGCAAATAAAAGACAACCTATCACAGCCTTGTGATTTTAGAAGAAAAAATTATAAATAAAAAAAAAAAAAAAATACAAAAGGACCAATCATTTCCCACACCAAAGAATCTTTTCCTCTCTTTCTTCTCGCTAAGTTCCTCTTAGCGCATCTCTTTAGCATGGTGTAAGGGGTGGTGTTTTGCTATTACTAAGCCTTTGAGGAGTGGGCTTGGCGCCCCACTCTTCATAGCCTAAGGGCATACGTAATAACTGCACATTTAATTCATATAATATTCTTTATAATTAATAGCTCAATTAATACTTTTTATGTGTGTTCACACATTAATAAATCCCTTTTAATGTAGTAGGTTTTAAAATATAGTTGAAAGTTGATTAAATTTTATGTGAGTTATATTTTAAGTAGGTCTATTCAAGGTGTAAGTGCAAAAATTATTTAGTTGATAGTGGATTAAATTTTGGGTACAATATTGTCAACTCATAACTACTATTGAATGGTTATCTGATTTTGAAGTATACATTATACATTGCATGCATCCACCTTTGTTAGAAAATAGGGCACCAAATAAGATGTTCCTTAATATAACATCTTAAAATTTTAGATGTTCTAATGATAAGAAGAAAGGAAAAAGATTATAGGATTGTTTAGAAGTATTGCAAATATGCATTTATGCATAAAGGGCAAATCTATAAAAATGGTAAAATAAAACTTTTACATGAATTATAATATAAATCTCTTCCGGTTTTACTCTAAGATTGCACCTTATTTTTACTGCCATAATGTTATAGGAGTTTTACGCAGAAAGTTTTGTGTGATGTCAAATGTTGGAGTTCTTGAATGTGAGGTGTGGGTGATGGATGAGTATAGGATGGTTGAATCGTGGGTCAAACACCATGTATGTCTCATTTTACTCTAGATTGCATCTTATATTTCCAACCAAATATAATAACAAAAAAAATTAAAAGTACGAATGCATTGAAAATAATAAAGTAGTAGTTTTAAAACTTACATTTTAAATTTGACATCTACGTGTATATATTATTGAAAGCGATCATTTACATCTCCGATTTTCACTCTCATAAGGGTTTCTTTTTCAACATAACTAATAATGGCATTCAAAAAATCTATCACATTTGTTACGTAAGTCTGTTTTAAAAAATTTCATGGTGAGAAAACATATTTCGACTGTTGCGGTTGTGATGGGTAAAACCAAAACCAAATTTACCAAATTTGAATAAATTGGCTAGTTTTGAACAAGCAGGAGGTTCTTTTATTTTCTTTCCGGTCGTCGATGTTGATTCATTCTCCTCTCTATTCTGCATCAAAGGAATTAAAACACAAATGGGGCAATTTTGAACAAATTGAAATTATATTGGGCTTTTTCTTTTGCTATTACATTTTAAATTGTATTGGGCTAACTTTTTATAACTTTGGAATAAAATTGGTGCACCATATATTTTTTTTATTGAACTTGATACTAGTAGCACAATTTTTGGAGTAGTTGCACATTAATAATAATAATAAAATAATAAAATTTACTCTTAGCACGCGAAATCGAGTTGAGGTCCAAGACACCGATGAATCCATTACACAATAAGTTTCTTTTTGTTGCTTACAATGATCGTTTGGGACAAAATTGTAAGATTTGTCTCACTGGTATTCAAAATTTTTTTGATAGGATTCAAAATGTTTCCAATTTGTATGAAAGGTCAAAAATCAAGGTTTTTCTGGGTTTTTGGTCTCTGATAAATTTGAAAAGTCGATTTTACCCTTTTCATTTCTTTTTATATTTTCTTTATTAATTTTGGTATTTAAATAATAAAAAATAAAATCTCTCTCTCTCTCTCTCTCTCTCTCTCTCTCTCTCTCTCTCTCTCTCTCTCTCTCTCTCTCTCTCTCTCTCTCTCTCTCCGGGGCAGGTGTTCCTAGATCTAATCTCCATGATTCTATAATCGCCTCCCAAAAACACATAAAGTAATATAAAAACCTCAGGAAATCGATCTAGATGTAGATTTAGAAACCGACCCAAAATGTAGAAATCTATCCACATGTAAAAATTATAGATGAAAACACTAGAAATTACCAAAGGGTTTTTAGCCTAACGGTAATGAGTGACTCTCATTAGGAGATATAGATGGTGTTTAGAATTAGATTAAGACAAGGATAGTTTGCCGTTTAAAAAAAAAAAAAACTAGAAATTGGTGGTGAAAAATATACAATAAGAAAAGGTTAGCCATGTTTAATATGGGGAATCTGAAATCTTTAAAACTGCATTTAATTAATACATATGCATTGGATTAAATCATTAAATGTTGTGACCTTTGATTTCCTAATTTAACAACGAGTTGCTCCCATCTCCAAAGTGCATCCGCTAGGCCATCTATAAGTTCAATGAACTTAATTGTAAATCACAAAATGGCTCCACGACAACACACGACAACTATGGAGAAACTCTCTGCCGATGTTTTATCGAACATATTTATCAGGTTATTCGCAAAACAGGTTGCTCAAATGAGGTGTGTCTCTAAATCTTGGAGTGCTCTCTTATCTCAATCCTCCTTCATAAACTCCCACCTCCATCATTCTACCCATCACAACAACGATAAAATTCTCATGTTACTCCGCAAGGCATGTGATTTTGGCTCTGAACCCATCACAGCACACCCTTCTCCATCTCCCCATGTGGAACTCACTAATTTCATCAAACTCCCTGTTAATCTTAATTTTGAAGGCGCCAGTGTTATTGGATCTGTTAATGGCTTACTATGCTTGAATTGCAGATCATATAATGGTGGTTCTGGCCTTCATATTTGGAATCCATGTCTCTCCGCTGTTTTAGCTATTCCACCATATTCTATGCCATCTCATGGTCATGATCAGAAGGAAACTCTTTTCCGATTTGGGTTTGATCCCAAAACTGATGACTACAAAATTGTTAAGCTTGAAGCTCTTCTCGAAACAGAAAGGATCGACCTAATTTTGGTTGCATTTCTCGGTATTTCTTTAATTTCGGTTAAAGAGTGGCTACAAGTAGAGGTTTATAGCATGAGAAAGGGTTCATGGAAGGTAATCACTCAAAGGTTTCCATCTCAAATCATTGGGATTTCAATAACAGATGATGTTTGTGTATATGGACATCTTCATTGGCTTTGCATTTTTAATCCAAAATCATCCATGCCAATTTGCAAACTAGTGTAATTGATAAGCAATTTATCAATTGCATGATCATGCTAATAACTTTTTAATCTTTGAAATGATGATATTTGATAAGCAATTATCTAGTAAAAAAAGGTCTATGAAAATTCCATAAGTTAAAGCAAAATTTCATCCTCAACTAGTAGTTAATCCAAAAAAACAACTATAAACTCATGTTTCACATCTCATTCCACTTTCTTGCTGCTAATTGTTTCCTCTCCTGAAGTAATAGCTGCTGTTTTTGACTCATCAAACTCCAGTAACTGCCACCAACCAACCACATTTCCATAAATAAATAAAATTAATTAAATATTATATTATTCTAAAAAGAAAAGAATACACATACCGGTTTAACCTCTCCATTCCATAGACAATGAGCAGCCAAAAACCCAATAACCCCTGGTACAATGTACAATAGAGCCGGCTGCAAAAAAAAACAATCAAACAATTTTAGAATAATAATATTATCAATGTTACTTGTTATCATCATAAAAAGGGCAAATATGGGAATAATAAATAGTATGTATCTCAACCTGTGCAGCTTGAAACCAATTCATGACAACAATTGTAAGAACCAACCCAACTGTGTATCCCAGAAAAGCACTTTTAAAATAGTGGCTCTCTCTTCCTCTTGACACATCAAATCTCAGTGCTAATGCTACAAAAATCCCTGAAATCAACCAAATTACTTAATAACCATATAATATCATTATTTACTGACAAAAAAATTCATAAATTAAGGCATACCATACCTGGAATTACAATGTCACCTAAACCAAGCATGGAAAAGGGGCGTGCAGCAATTCTTGATGGAAATAAAAGCTGTAAAAAACATTATGTTCGATTATTATAAACACGAGTTTCATAATATATATATATAAAAGATAATATGTTTTACCTTGATAGGTGCATCAAATGATTTAGCAACACTAACCATTACTGGAGTGAAAAACACCCAGAATATATCATATACAAAAAGTCCAGCCTGCATGTTTCAACAACCATGACATCATCAAATCAAATCAAATCCATGGGAAAAGTTTAGTCTACAAAAAAGAATGTTTAAAAAGAATGATGCCTTACCAACAGAATGGCACCAGTCTTGAAAGAGCCAAGTGAAAGCATTTCAATTCCCTGAGATTTATAAAAAAAAAAAAGGGTATCAATTTCATGTTATGAAATAAAATAATGAAATGGATTAAATAAGATAAAAACCTGAATGCAGAATGCAAGACCCAAAATGTTGTTAGCCAGCCAATGTTTTTGTGCAGCATACCATGCACAAAAAAAGGTACCAGGAATAGCAGCAACAACTTGAGACCTTGTGAACTCAAAAGTAACATCCAAAGCTGTTTAACAAATGTTTAAACAAACATATCATTCTGCATATCAGAGATCATGGTAAAATGTAATTACATTAAAACAACTGAACAAAACCCATCAGTTACTTTACTCAAAAACAACAAAATTCATACACCGGAAATACGGGAGACGCCATATGATCACATCATCATTCCACTTGTTTGGTAGAAACCGATCAATTGCAGGTAAGAGTGTAGCCCTGTGTTTAAAAGAAACATAGATATATGACTTATGAGTACTACTAAATGAAGATTAAGATTAGCAACAAACATGTTGTTTGCTAGAATATGGAAGATGAAAGAATGATGCATACAAAAAAAACATACGAAAGAGCGATGATCCCAAGTATAAAGAAGTATCCAGTCAACACTGCATTGACCAAGTCTTTTGATAGGAACTTAAATAGCAGGAACAAAGATAACAACATTGCACTACCAACTAAGGGAAAACGCATTGCATGTTCATTAGACATTGTTTCCTGAGGAAAAAGATTCAGGGAATTGTAAGTTAAACATATGAGAAAAATGTTGAATTACAATTCTCAAAAAAGGGTTGTGAAATAGAAGATGGTTTCTTACAGAAGGAGGTGTTGGCTTGACAGAGCGATAGCAACCCACAAAAACAGTGAGGCATGCGGTTAATACAACATTTAAATTTGTATCTACTTTCACAACTAATGGAGCTAATGTTAAACCTGCAAAAGAATGTTAAATGGATAAATTAATCTGCTAGAGCTAGATAAACATAAATGGAACTATATATGTATTGAAAATTGATGTAATTAGATGTGTTTGAATTGAAGAATGGAAATCAAACCTGCTAGAGCAATATTTGCAGCACGCTCGGCGTTCTTCATTGTCACAACTACTGAACTACAAATCAGTGATTTCAGGAGATAATAAGTGAAGCTTGCTTGGTAGGAAGAAACCGAATCTTTGGCCTACATTTAACAAAATATTGAAGAAAACTTCATAAGATCGTAAGTGAAAAAATGAAAGGTGACAACAATTAGATAAGTGAAGATTGTTTTTGCTTTCTTGAGTAGAGTATGAAGGTACTTGGCCTATAAGAAATTGATGTGACCATACTTGATAGTTGATACAATGCATTAGTCAAATAACTTTGCATGATCAAGAACTCCCTAAATCAGTAACGATGAGAAACTAGGAAGATTTATAAACTCTTTAGCAATATGACACACACCAGTGAGAATGCTTCCTTTCAAAAATTAAAGATGGTATACAAAGTTAACTCAAAAAGACAAAAAGGGATGCTCTTCTGGTAAGGGTAACCATCAGACTACTTTTTGTTATGTCATCGAATCCAATTATATATATTAAGTTATTAACTAATCAATCACGATCAGGAGCAAGAACAGAGTGATGGTTCAGATCCTTACAGAACCAAAAAAGACTCGATTCTTAGCATCCGGGAATCAAATCCACTATAAATCAAGTATGACAAATAAAACCTAATCACTGACTTATAATACGAAACTGAACAGAAACTAACCGCAAAAAAGATGGAAAACAAGAAATCAATCTGCCGTAAATAGATTGATGGAGAGATGGCTAGATCCAAAACGATTTGTTCATGTCTCGTACCTTACGAATAAAGAACGACTCAAAAATGTCAGCAATTCACGCAATTATGAAAATCTAGGGCATAAAAACAGCGGATCGTAACTCGCTATTTCACATCAGAATTGTATAAACGAAAGAACAGTTCATCACCTTCAGAGGAAAAGGAATCGAGAATCGACTATCGCCGGCTGTGGTGGTTCCAAAGCAGTTACTTTTCTTCGGCTCGTCTCCGGTTGTACTTCGATCGATGGGTATACACAGCAGAGGAGAGCGCGTATGCTTCAGATGTCGACGCTTTATAATTTACAGTAATCGAATTTTTGGTTAACTTTCATTAATTGCGAGTTGGTGTCATTCCATGTCATTCCGACCAATAATATAGTTACACGTGGTATTTTAGAGGTTTTTTTATCGTTATTTTCTTTTAATTTCTTCTACGTTTCAACTTTTATCTAAATTTAGAGTACATTAATTTCGGAGATTTTTTTCCATATTAAAATGGGATTCGAAAATTATATATGATTTTATTTTTTTAGAATATTATTGTTTGTTGTGCTGCGCAGCCTCTCCATCTTTTGTTGTCTTGTTTTTGTAGCAGTTTGTTTTTAGAATGCTTCAGATTATAAAACATATGTGTTTTTTATGCCGCCAACAACACTTGATTTGTATCTTCGTATCTTTTCGGTTTACATTTTTTACAAATGTTTATTTTTTAGAAATTTGATGTTTCTTTTAAACTTTGATTTTTTTTAAATTGATTTATGTATTTGATATAATATTTTTTTATAGTTTTACAATTTTTTATAACTTGATTTAAAAAATGATTTTTTAATATTTTTACTATTTTTTTTATAATATTTTCAGTTTCGGTTGTATTTTTTTAACATTTGTGATTTTTTATGAATTTTCTAGACATCGTTTATAATATTTTTTTTATTATTTTATAATTTTTTTATGTTTTTTACTTTTTTTAAATGATAGCATCTTTTACCTTTTTTTTAGGTTTTTAAAAAAAATTTATAATTTTGTTTTTTTACATGCTCTTTATTTTAGAAATTTTATAATTTTTTTTTATGTTCTTTTTATTAAAATTTCGGTATTGAGAATTATTTTCAGTTTCTAAAATCATTTTATTTAAACTTCAGTTGATTGTAGTAGCCAACAACTGTAAAAAAAACAAATATATTTTTTTATTACAAGTTGCAGTCGTTTGGTCCACCTTTTCTGATGTAGATGGTTGCACAAGCAGTCCGCAGTCTTCATGGATTTTCGTTTTGAAAAACAAATAACACCTAAGAGACTATTTGAGAAATTAAATATTTTTTTATAATTTTTTTTCTATTTATCCTTCTATTCATGTTAAATTTTGATATGCATCACATTTGGTGAAATTAATAATATTTTAATACATTTATCATCTTTTAACATAGAATGAAAATGATTTGGAAGAAAATAAAAGGATGTTTAATTTCTCAAACTAATTTGTAAGAAACATCCTGATATAATATTTCTATAGATGTGACATCATCATTCAATAAACTTATATGGAATATCAATAATCAGATATAACCGTTCTAATAATAATAATAATAATAATAATATTTAACTTTTTATATTTTTATTTAAGTAATATGCAAAGATGTCCAATAAAATAAAATGATGATATATGATGGTTAATATAATTATATTTTTTATGAATCATAAAAACTAACATTTATTATGTTGTACTGATCTACAAGTTAGTATAAACAATTATCCCTGACTTGTAAACTCCCTAAACTCAGACCAACAAAAATTTTTACATGACTTTTTTTTATTACAAACTACATTAAGCATTCACGTCATCAATAATATAAACTACAATAATTTTTAAACACTAATATCCATATATTAACAGGTTTATATGTATTACAAGAAAAAAGCAATAATATTTTTTTAAAAGGCAATTTGAAAGAGGTTTTGATGTCATGGAGTTTAGAATGATTAATATTTTATATGGTATTGTTTGATATGCCAGTTGATAATAATTGACAACGATTATTTTAAGAACAATATTAGTAATTCGGATCAATATAATTATCACAAACTTAATGACTTAATGGCAAGTCGATATCAAGTTGTTCACTTGCTTATTTTTCAAAATGGCTTCATCATTAAGTTATCCAAGATCACAAAGATAACCTATCTATCTCTTCCCACATCATTCTTTCTTTCACCATAAAATTATTGGAGACTGAGCGTAATTGTTTAAAAACACGATTCATAACTTCATTCTACTTAAATTTATGTAATATCCATAAAATTTTTTTGCCAAATTTAAACTTTTTAAAACATTTAGAAACCAACAGTTATTACCAATATGTTTTCATAACAGTTCTATATCAGAGAATCCCAGAAACATAGTCATAAGTCTAACTTGCCTTCCGGGCCCACAACTCCCATCTGGATTGCCACTGAGCCCACAGTACGAGTCTGGTATGCCCTACCCGACCCTCAGCTTGTATCTAGAATGCTACTGAGTCCACAATACGAGTTTGGCATGCCTTACCCAACCCTCAGCTCATATTTGGAATGCTCTTATGTCCTTAGTATGAGTCTGACATGCTCTGCCCGGCCCTCAGCTCATATCTGGAATACTTGAAAGACCCTAACTTTCGTATTTATGAAAGACCCAAACTTTCATGCTCGACAATATAGTTACTCCAAAATATGCATATTCATAAAAACAATATTTTACATTGATAAAGAGGTTACAAACTACTGGATACAAACCGACTATTTTAGAGTGTTATATATTACATAACTTCTCAGGATTCTATAGTTTTATACATATGGGAGTGCAAAATACAATACTTTCAAACTATTGTTAAGCTTCTATCGATACAATAGTTTCAAACTATTCAAAAATCTTCTACCAGTATATAACTATACTGGATGTTTATCTCCTGCAATTTGTTAAACATCGAGAGGGTAAGCGGTGACGCTTAGTGAGTTCAATAATAGATACAATATAACGTTATGCCATGTATATACTTTAATAGGGCAGAAGCAAAGACGAACAAGGAACAACAAGGGCATATGTGAATCATGTGACAAACATTCCATATCAATCATTGATTTGATTTAAAGATATACAATCAATGAGACATAACAATTTCCATGCTTGATATACATCAATAAAGCTTTGGCCCAAACGGCACAGAAGATATACAACTTCGGATTAACATTTCGGTAGATTTTAGGCTTATAGCCCTGTCTAACCTTCTGCCACTACCATAGAATAGAATTCATTCTCTTATGGAGACATGTTCCACATGGCCAGAAGCTACATACCAGTACCAACGTGAATCTAAGTCCTTTCACTGATCACATGGTCAAAGGTATTTCTTTTCTATTAAAAATAGCAAATAAAAATAACCCGGGAAAATGACCCGGAATAATAACACTGAAAAGCACGTAGCACATATAACACATAACATACAATTATTTCTATATATTAAACTCACCGTGAAATAATCGGGGGCTCAAATATTAATTTGGGTAGTACTTCGGCTCTAAATATAACTTTCGTCGTTGAAAACCGGGCTCTGCGAAGGTAGAGCTTTGAACCGAAAATATAAAATTTTCGGCCTTCTCGGGAGTCTCGGGGCGTGTTTCGGGCTTTGGAATCAATACCGGGGCTACGGGGAATGTCGGGATAGTAAAAATATTGAAAAAGGGGGTGAAAGTGGAAATTTTCTAAAATTAGCTGAGAGGGTTCGCACCCCTTATATAGAGCCGAGCTTCGGATCCGAAGCGAGGGGAAGAAGGCATGCGTCTGCGAGGTTCGGACCAGGTGGCAGCAGGGCGAGGCTCGGTTCGGTCAGCTGGCTGCTTCGGTTTGGACCTAACTTCGGTCCAATGGGAGGAGGGCACGAGGGTGCGAGGGTGATCAAGGGGGTGTCTCCTGCGAAGGTGTTCCGAGCTTAGTGGTCCTCGGGATTGGTCCAATCAGAAGGCAACACGCAAGGCTGAGGTACAATCAGCAACGAACACGTGTCCGACACGTGGAAGCCTCGCATACGAGGGTGACGTGGCAGTACTATTCATGCGAATTTTCTCGAAAAATGTACCAAATCTTGTAAAATTTATAACTTTCTCATACGAGCTCCGTTTTTGACGTTCTTTATATGCACGCGAAGCTAAAATTATGCTCTACAACTTTTGTTTAGACTTCATCGGCTAATTTTGACTTTAATTTTTATATTATTATTTTTAACAGACCGGGACAGGAAAATGCGTTAAAAATTCATAACTTCTTCATCCGACGTCCGTTTTCGTCAGATTTTTTACCGTTGCACTACTAATGATGAGACCTTCAATTCTCGTTTAGGTTGTGTCGGTTAAAAATCACTCGATCTAAAATTCGAGTTTTTAGCTGTCTACTGCTAAGCGGAAACTTCGAAAAATTATAATTTCCTCATACGAAGTCAGATTAAAATGGTCTTTATATGAAAGTTGATTATTTTCACGAGTTTTACAACTTTCATTTAGATCACTAAGACTAAAAATTAGTTTATCGAAAACTAAATTTTTATGCGACAAAGTATTTTTTGGATTTATCACGGATCTTCGTTTGGTCATAACTTCTTCGTTATAACTCGGATTTCGATGAGGTTTTCGCCTAAATGTTTCTAACGAGATTATCTATAACTTTCAATAATAAAATTTGACTTATTCCAAATTTTATATTTTCGCTATATTTCACTATTTGGTTTTTAATTGGAATCTCATAAGACTTCCAACATTTTATGAGTGATTCTAAACATAATTTTACTTCATTTCTAGTAAAAACTATATGTTAGAACTCAACATTCAAATTCACTTAATATTTCATAATATTATTTACTTAAAACACGATTTCAAAACGTATATGTTACAATACTCTAGGGTTTGTTGGTTACCGCACGGAACAGTACAACCTCAACTCGTCCCACATAATATGTCGACATATAACATAACTAATTCACATACATATAATCACATAATAATACAGGTAGTCCTACAGATATACCAAACTAGCATAGCAACTAGCATGCAACACTAACTCATACTCAGCATACTACCAACTGCTAGGATAACATATCCAATGGGTCGGCATTGGTGCCTTCAACCCCTTAGTATAGTGAGGATAACTTATTCGGCTATGCTGAAATCCCGTGGATAAAACTCCAGCTGCTGGTTTATAGATTCCCAAATTGTAAACATAAAACAATATCCAATTAATAATTGGGTTCCAAGCCCAAGGTCCAACTCACACCCCAAAGGCCCAATAGTCAAGTAATGGGCCAAATCCCAACATATGGCCTAATTTTCCAAATTCGGCCCAGACCTCTATATCGTGTTTCGTTAATGCCCATCCAATTATTCTAGTCCAAACTTTTGGTATTCCCATGGCTCAATATCACATAATCATCAAGGCCCGGTTATGGCCCACCTATAGCCCAATTTTCCAAATTGGGCCCAAGTCCTTCACATGGGCCTTACCCTAAAACTCATCCAATTATTTTGGTCCATTTACTTGTTCTTGGATAGCCCAATAATAGTCCAATCACCAAGGCCCAATAGGAAGGCCCAAATCAAGTCCCGAGTGAAATTAGGGTTTCCACATGAAATGGCGATTAAGGTTAAGTGTTCCTACTTAACCAAGTAAGGACTTAATCCATTAAGTCCAATATTGCCTTAGGTTAATTCGCAAATGATTACTAATTAACATTTTTAGCTTCGTAATTAATTCAAGTTTGGGTCCCGATAATTCCCCAAAATTAGGGTTTTACGCCGTTAGGATTTTCCAACCCAATACTAGCTCATTAGTTACATGGTTGGGCTTTTAGGTCAATTAGGACTTCATTGGGCCCATTAGGGTTTCATTGGGCCCACTAGGGTTTCATTAGACCCATTCTGTGTCCAAGCATCCCAAACGAGTAAAAACGCAAACGAGGCACACCGCCACCCAACACGGCGGCTGGTGGCGGCGGCCACCACCATACGGTGGTGGTTTTGAATTTTTATTATCATTCCGACACCGATTACAATTTACAACACAATTTCGATAACACACACACATCCGCCCTGTGGCAGCAGATGGTGGTCGAGGTGCTAGCCACCACTTTTGATTCTAGATTACACAACCCACACATAACACACCCTAGCAATGGAAACACACCTAAACACACTTCTGTTTGCGAGATAAACCCAACAACCCACCTAGTGGCATATGGCGG